GACTTACCCCTCGGGTTGGCTGGGTCCACTTCAGAGTAGGGCGGAGGGGCCTCCGGTGGGCTGGGATAAGGTGGTGGCCAACACGGCAACGTACTGAAGGGACCTGCCAGAGGAGAGYCCCCTCACTGCTCCAGGCGTGGGGAGCCCAGGCACCCCTTCGAACCGCTCCTCGCTGCGGGAATGCCCTTGGGAGGCGGCGGAAAGCCCTAGCTCGACTCCTGCAAGCTCCAAAGTCAGGCTTTGCTCATCCCCTCTGCCAACCTCCTCCTAAAGAGTTGGGCAGCGACATTTGGGGCATCTGGGTGTCACCTCGGACGAGCAGCAATGACTGGGAGCATACGCTGAGCGTGGCGGGCAGGCGGGCACGCGTAGCTGAAGATGGAGGCGGTCGGACACTGCTGCAGGTTCACGGCTTCTCGCAGGGCGTCTGTTTCAGCAAACAGGGGAAAAATAAAAACATAAAAACATGCCAGTGCAAGTGACCCTGGTATGACAGAGCTTGTGCTGTTCCCCTGGGGACCTCAAAGTGCTTTTCAGGAACTAAGCTGAACAGCTTCAGGAACAACAGCCAGGACAGCTACCACTGCCGTGAATCCTTGAGCTGAGAAAATCCTGCTTGCTAAAAGGGCCTTTTCCAAGTAACTTGCACCTTATTTTCCTTAATGCCACCCTGCCCCACCGGTACTTGCTGTCTACCCCTGTCTCTGTTAGCCCTAGCCCCTATCTATAATGATAAATCATTTTTCACTTGAAAAGTCCTGCATTACTGGAGATAGAGATCTGATATTGGAGGCTTGACAAAAGATTTCAGGAGCTGTTAGCAAAGTTTCTAATTGCCCTTTCCGAGGGTCAGATCTGTCTTGTACATCCATTGGGATAATTACAGAGCACTAAACATCATGTTTGTTCAGAGAGCTGGGAAATGAGGCTGACGTTCCAGTTGCTCCTGGGAATGTTAATGACCTTGTTGGTGTCCTACACATCCCATGTGAAGCTGTGTCACCTCCTCTGGCCTGGCTAGGCTGGTTGGACCAGKACGGATAATGACTTTCCTGAGAGGATGCTCACTCTCGAAGGGACACAGACCGCCATACAGGTGGGAAATTTCCCAAAAATTTCTGAAGTCAGATCCCAGGGTGGAATGGGGAAATCCTGCAGATATCAGAAGGAGCATTGGAGTGTATGGGGACAAAGAAAAGCAGAAGAACCTGTCCCAGGAGTGAGCATGAGCCAGAACAAATCTGCAAGCAGGGCTTGGGAAGTGAGTGAAGGTGTGAGGAGAGTCCTMTATTATTATTATTATAAGATGTGGAAAACCTCAGAGCAAGTTTTCCACAGCCCTTAGCCTGTGTGCAAAGCAGGAGCAGCAGCCTGGGGAAAGGGATATGGGACAAACTGGAGCAGTGTGGGCCAGGAATGAGAGCCTGGCTGAGTCACAGTGCTGTGGGGAGGTGGGCGCTGAGCTTGGCTGGTGCCTCCTCGTTAACCCTTGGGTGTTTGCTCTTGCCCTGGGCCTGGCCTGGTTGTGTCATGCAAAGAATGGGAGCGGGGAGGATTATCCCGCTCTGATACAGCTGCCCTGTCCCAGCAGTGCTGAGAGACACGTCTTCCCTAGGGAGCTAACACAGACGCTCTGTCTTTAGGGATGGAGCCAGGATGCTGCCACCCTAAGCCTTGGTGACAAGGGGCCTGGCAGATGGCCCTGCATGTACCTGTGCTTTTATGTTCTACCTTCCCTCCTCCCTGGGACTGCTCGGCCTTCTCAGGCCAATGCAGGGTGCCCCCCTATGTGCCTGGGTGCCTTTCTGGCATCRCCCTCATTCCCCAGGATTGCCTGTGTGATGGGATGTGTGATGGGTGGATGTGATGGGAATAAAGGTATTTGCCACATTTCCTCCAAGCTCTTTAGAACTGAGTGTCCCTTTCCTACTACTGCATTTTGTAACTAGCTCTGTAGCCACTAGTTATGTGGTCAGGCATAGTTTGAAGTTAGTTATATAGCTAACTTCTGCCTGACGTGACACGGAGCAGGAGGAAACAGCCCAGAGATCAGGAAACTCACCTGATGAGCACAGGTCTTGGATGAGGCTAGAGCAGCTGCTAGCTCCATAGGAGAAGATGAACTTGAAGCTTAAAACTCCATGCATGGAGGCTAAGCAGGTGAGACAGGAATAAGAATGTGATGGAGTCAGCGGAGGGACCACACACCTTCCTCATGCCAGAGATTGCACTTTTATTACTCTCTGCTGTTGATTTGCCTGCTCCCATGCCCTTCCGTGTCTGACTTTTCCCTGGCTTCCATTCCAGGGGCATGAGGGCAACACCCACTCAATGACTGTGAAGCAATTAAGCCTCATCCTGTCCCAAATTAACRTTGTTAGTGGAGCAATTGGACATCCTTAAGCTTCTTTGCCTTSTATCACGTGCCAGGATGGACACACCTGGAAAAACCCAGTGAAGGACGGGGACCCTAAGACCCTGGGTCCAACTTATCCTTAGAACAAGTTCGTGGTGAAAGGTTCCCCTCGCGGCAGTCAGATTCTAGTTGTATCTTGTCTCAGCTTAAGCTATAGTCCTTCCTTTATAGTCCCAGGAAAATGCCTGAGTCAGCAGGGCTGTTAAATTTCTGCCTAACAGCCAGGACTCACCCTCTGAAAGTGCCATTTGTCTCCTACAACTACAAAGGAAGCTTGGAAACCGCCTGGATTGAGACACCAGCCTTTATCCAGCAGTCAGGAAAAAGGATCCCACTTTTAATGATCTTCTAGGGGCAGAGGTTCTCAGCTGAATAACCAAAATCCCCTTTTCTTGGGAGAAATGAAACAGACAGCAGTGTGAGGAGGTGGGACACGTACTGAGGGTGCCCTTGATGTGCTGCTGCTTGGTGCTGGGCTCCTCGCCGACGGTGCAGGCCCCCAGCAGCTGAAGTGGAAACCAGATGGTGGTAGAGCCCTTGGCCTTGTGGTGGAATATTATCTAGGAGAGACATGGAAATCTTGCAGGACGCTTGTGGAGAAGAGGAGGCTTGGTAGACCTGCTGGCAGTGCTGGAGGTGCTGAACGGGACAGCGAGGCAGTTCAGGATGGTCCCAATCACCACATCCTCCTGCTGCACTGGCTCCCTTCTCCAGCGTCACACTGACACCAGGACCACGGCGAGGATGGAGCAGGGTCCCTGGCTCCAGCTCGGCCTGGCCACCACTGAAAGAAGTGGAAACGGGGTGACGGGGATGGTGCTTTCACAGCATGTGCCGTTCTCCAGCGGGAGCTCAGCCTGCCCAGGGCCCTGCTCCCCTCAGCACGGCGCACACCCGTCTCCCTGCAGCTGCTCTCTATAGGGGCCGCGTGTTCCCATACATTTCGGGGCAGGGCTGGGATGAAGGGCGGGATGCTGCAAGGGAGCGGCTTGTCCGTAAGCAGAGGCTTGCGAGGTGCCCGCCTGGGCTCCCTCGCTGCAGACTGTGGCGTGCGGGATCCATCTGGTTCCATTGTGTGCAGGACTCACCTGGTGCCAAGGTGTGCAGGACTCACCTGGTCCATGATGTGCAGGACTCACCTGGTCCGTGGTGTGCAGGACTCACCTGGTCCATGGTGTGCAGGACTCACCTGGTCCGTGGTGTGCAGGACTCACCTGGTGCCAAGGTGTGCAGGACTCACCTGGTCCATGATGTGCAGGACTCACCTGGTCCATGATGTGCAGGACTCACCTGGTCCGTGGTGTGCAGGACTCACATGGTCCCATGGCGAGCAGGGCTCACCTGGTCGGTGGTGTGAGGGACTCACCTGGTCCCACGGTGTGCAGGGCTCACCTGGAGCCATTGTGTGCAGGGCTCACCTGGTGGCACGTCAGGTAGAGCTGTCCCCTGCGGGCGCCGCGCAGCTCCTTGGGCAGCTCGGCGGGCGCCCGCAGCTCCAGGCGCACGTCGCCGAAGCGGGCGAGCGCCCTGCGGCGGGGCAGGCGCGTTGGCGGCGTCCGGCACATGGGTGCAACGCACCGGGGCAGGGGGCACCGCGGGACGGTCACCTCTCTGCCACCACACGGCTGGCCCTGCTGAGCCGCCTGCGCGTCACCTCCATGCCGGGCAGTGCGGGGCACCACGGCGCATTCTGACCTCAGTGGTGACGTCAGCGGTGACGTCGTGTGCGGGGGCTGCGCTCCGTGACGTCACCAGTGAGGTCACATGTGGCTGCTCTGCTCTGCGAGGTAGGAGTGAGGTCAGCAATGACGTCATGCATGGTGGCCGCACCCTGCGACATCATCAGTGAGGTCACACGTGGCGGCTCTGCTCAGTGACGTCAGCAATGACATCATGCGCGGTGGCMACAACCGCTGGCGTCACCCGTGACGTCGGCCAGCGCGCGCCTGCGGTCACGCGGGATCTCCTCAATTCGCTTAAAACGGGACAAGCGGCCGAGGGGCCCCGGGCTCGGGGCGGGACACGCGGCCTCCGCCCGGCAGGGGGCGCCGCCGCCCGCCTGGCCGCGCCCGGAAGCGGCTCCCGCCGCGGGGCGGTACCGGGGCCCGGCCCGGCCCGGCCCGGTCGGGGGTACCGGGAACCGCCGGAGCGGAGCGGAGCCTCCCGCGTGCTCCGAGCCGGGGGGAGCGGCCGGGCCGGGGCTGCTGCCTGCGGGGGCACCTCGCACCTGGGGGCCCGGGTAACCGGTGCGGGTGTAGGTGCAGCTGTAGGTGTAGGTGCAGGTTTAGGTGTAGGTGCAGGTTTAGGTGTAGGTATAGGCACACGTGTAGATTAAGTGTAGATATAGGTGCAGGTTTAGATGTAGGTATAGGTATATGTGCAGGTGTAGGTGTAATTATAGGTACAGGTGTTAGGTGTAGCTGTAGGTGTAGATTAGCTGCAGGTGTAGGTATGGTTGTAGGGGTAGCTATAGGTGTAGGTGTACATATAGATGTAGGAGCTGCCCAGCTGGAGGCTGCCGCCCGCACCCGTCCCGGCAGGGCCCRTCTCCTCTGCACTCGGCTTCACCCAAGCTCAGGTCTTGTTCAGAGCGGCCCCATTTTGAACATTGTGTGTTCAGAGTCTTTCTTTTYTTTTTTTTTCTGTAAGRGAGAAATCCCTGATTTGACTCACGTGCTCAGCAGAAGGAAACGGGCTCAAATGGAGATAAGAGCTGGCGTCCCCTTTATCCCGTGATACTCATCCACCCCTTTTCCCAGCATTATCCTCTGTGTCTCCCCCACTGCCCAGCTCTTGTGTGAGCAGCTCCGTAACTCCTGCCTTTGTCCTGGGAGGTCCTTCAATCTCCCCTTTTGCAGGAGTTTATTTCAGCGTGTGTTTTGTTTCAAAATTCACCTGGTTTTCTACAGAGCATCCCCAGTGCTAAGTATTAAGTTTGGGAGCTGCTTTCACTGGCTGTATCTTGGGCAAAGCTCAAAGATACTGATACATTTGGATTGCTAATTGGGCTTTCCTAATTTTATTGTCTTTCTTTGGTGACATGGGAGATGCAGGTACTGTAGAGATGAGGAAAAAATTGCGTGAGAGCAAGTTGACATCCTGGACAATCTAGAAACCAGTGACTTGATTTGTGGGAGCAGTTAAATTTATATCCAGGTCTGAAATGCTCCCTAGGTTCCTGCAGCAGAGAGTGAGGCCATTCCTGTAGTATGGATTTGAGGTTTCGATCCATGTGCTGTCTGAATGGAGCAGGGCTTCGTGGGGGCCCTTTAGCTTCACAGAACAGTCCCAGTGAAGTTTCTGGTGTAAAGTATCTGCTATGTGCTGGTTAAGGGAATGCCTGTTTCCTGAAAAGTGACACTTCTACTGTTGCCTGAGGTGAGTAGAGTAATTTGCTCCACCTTAAGTCRTGGGTGCTACACCCTCTAGCAACCAAAGTTGATAGCAACTGGGTTCCTAGATAGGTTCCTGGCCTGTATGGGAGGGAAATGTTGCAGTCAGGGAGATCCTCAGAGCCTTCCCTTGCTCTTTAGTCCCTGCCTGCCCTTCATCCTGCAGAGATCCTGGCCTCCAAGCACTGAGCCTGCGAACACATGGATTTGGGAGGTGCTCAAGGGGACGACAACGTGAGTGCTCTGGCAGAGCGAGTGCAGCATCTCGCTAAGGAAAATGCAAGTATGAAAGTCTGGTTGGTGAACCGGCACTCCGAGAGTGAATCCTCGTTTCAGGAGGAAAAGGGCAGCTAACAACCCTATATCCACAGCCTATTAAAACTACAGAAATTAGCATTTTCTCACTGGTTGTGCTGTGCTTTTCCCTTCAGCATTGTGATGGGAATATGGGAAGGGGAGAAGATCTGTGCTCACTGGCACCAGCTGCTGGAGCTGTTCTGTGTTTCTAGGTGCAGTTGCAAGATAGGAATGAGAGGCTCTATGTGGAGCTTGGAGACGTGCAGGAGAGGATGGGGAAGCTGGCTGGCTCCAAAGCAGACTTGCCAACCAGACTGGTCTTCACCGAGGAGGAAAAGCTGAAGGTAATACCTTCACCTAAACCTTGGGAGCTGGAGAGCACTGAGCTATGAAGCCTTTTGAGCCCCCAGTAGCTCTGCAGTAGAAAATCTRGTGAGAAATGACAGTGCCTCTCTCTGAAGGACATCTGTTCCCTCCAGCCAAGCTCTCTTCTTTGCTGTCTGTGTTTTGGCTGGAATAATGTTAGCCTGGCAACTGTCTCGCTGGCTTCCCACACTTCTTCTTTCTGAAATAGGCCAAGACCTGAGGATTGTGTCTCTTTACAATTTTCTGATTGAGGAAAAACTTGTTTTTTATTTCATGCATCTGAGGGGCCAGTGTATTTGCACTGGCAAAACTCAGCCTTGTGGGAAGCTGTCCCTACCTCTCTGCTGTGTTTCTTTTGCTATTGCTCGGGTGGAAGGTGCAGCTGTGGGTCCGTTCAGCACTTGAGCAGCTGAGCTTAAATTCCCTGGGAAGACCTRTTGAAGCAATATGTTGGCCTAAGAAGCAGCATGTGGCCTATATAATGTCCTTTCTCTCTCCTAGATTTCAAAAGAGCTCCTTGATCTTCAGATTGAGACAAACAAAATGAGGGAACAATATGAGACAGAGAACTTTGAGCTAAAAAATATGGTATGTAAAAGTTGAATTGCCCAGAGTCTCCTTCTCTGGAGGTCTTCAAAACCCRCCTGGATACCACCCTGTACCCAGTGTTCTGGGTGTTGCTGCTGGAGCAGGGGGTTGGTCTAGATATTCTCTAGAGGGCCCCTTCCAACCTCAACCATTCTGGGATTCTGTGAGTTGTAACGTGAGGAACCAGTTTGACCAAATGACTGCCTAGCCGTTGCCGCTGGTCCCTGTAACGTAACTCCCTCCTCACTGCAGATCCTGGCCCTGGAGAATCGTGTGCTGGAGCTGGAGCTCTCTGGTGAGAAGGTCACCGGGGAGCGGGATGCCTTGCAGGAGCGTCTGCGCGCCGTGGAGTCCAACCACAAGGAGCTGGCAGACGAGTACATCATCTTGAAAAGCAATTACCTGGCGCTAGGCAAAGAGCTCGACCGAGAGGTGAGAAGGCACGTGGTGGACCTGCAGACTGCTTGGTTCTCTCTGAGTTCATTACCCAAAGAATTTCATRTAGTGTGTGACACTGGAGCAGGGCTTGCAGAACCTGCTGTGCTCCAGCAGGGACAGCGCTGAGCTCGTGTCCATAGAAAGGGCCAGGTCCACCCTGATTTGTGTGACCGGCTGCTCTGGCCGCTCCTGTCCATGTCTTGCTGTTTTCACATTGTCCCAGMCCCCCATCACTGGCAGTAATGAGATGTTCCCTGCAGGTCTGTGGGGAGTGTGTGCATTTCAGGCTCTTCTTGACTTCYCCTGTGCTTTGTTTTCTTTTTTTTTCCAGTGTTGTTTTCAAAGGCTGCCTGTAAATTGGTTTGTAGCCACTAGTTTCATGTAGTGGCAMAAAGGGATTTAAAGTTTTGAAGTTGACTAATTTACAAAAAGACAGAAYGTAAGCAACTCACCGATTGTCCTCGAAAATACAGTGAATCTCCTGGAGACTGTTAATCTAGTGATTATTAACTAAGCTCTTTCAGATCTAAGTTTGTGTATTTCTTCGGCATGAATCGCTACTTTACTAGACCTTCCTCTCCTCCCTCCCTCCACCACCTCCATTCGGGAGTGGATTTGGGGACTGACGCACTCCTCCCTCCTTTCCCTGGTGGATATTTCAGCTGTTTCAGCTTCATGGCCTTGTTTACTGTGCAGTCCGACAGCCTGCTGTGCTGGCCCTGGGCACAGCTGTGGCACAAAGATGTGGGGCTGGGACCAGGCTTAAGCAGTGTTGCTACTGAATGTCACCCCAGGGCTGACAAAGCCACTTACACTGAGTTTGCCTGTGCCCCTTCTTGCCTCCCTGCTCCCTGTCCAGTCTCTCTTAGTGGTGAACATCCTTCTGCAGGGCTCAGGTAGAGAAATACGCGAGGTTGTGATCATCCAGTTGCAAATTAGTGAGAGACTCTTGCAAAGTTACCCCTCTGAGCATGGCCATGAATGATGTACGTGTTCTTTGCCTGCTCCAGCTGCAGACTGATCAGCCAGCTCGAGCTCATCTGGRACACCTTGCAGCTGGAATGCATGGAGAGCACACGCACACAAACACATTTATCTTCTGTAAGCTGAGATTTACAGTCGTTTCTTACCAGGAGGCAATCTCAGCTGCTTGCAGGGTGGGAACCCCCCTCCATTCCCTACTGTATCCTGCAGGAGCACGAGGAGATCTGTGTGAGCCGATTGTGCGCAAGGCAGCGCGCGGCTGTGACGCGGAGCCGCCAGCCTCACACGGGGATTTCACAGCCCTTAGTGAGCTTAGTTGCTTCTCCTCCCCGAGGGGATGCAGCGGGTTAGTCAAAAATTGGATTTTCAGGTTGCTGACATGTATAAATGATGATTTGAAAAGGTTACTGTTAACAGTGTACCAATTTCATATGGCTCCTAGAGCACTGCAGAAAGTTAGATATCATGTTCCTGTTTTATGTGAAAGAAAAGTGAAGCACATGGATTAAGTTATTTGCTTGGATAGCATCTGAGAAAGTGGCAAAGCCGAGATCAGAAGCCAAAGTCTTTGGCTATCATTACTGGGATGGGGGTTTTGCCCCAGTTTCTTGGCTCTGACTACTGAATATCCCTGCYTCAAGCGACAGAGCCTGCGACTTGGCAGGTTAGGACTTGTCACAGTATGGGCCTCTTGCTCATTATTTTCCCAGTGTGGACTTTCCCAAAGGAAATGGCAATAGGAGCCTGTGGTTCTGCCCCCTCCCCTTCCCCAGCGCTCTTCTTAGGAGACAATGACCCTTTTACACATTCCCAATTACAAGTGCTACTTGTGACCTTGCCAATATGTTGTCATGGCTGCTTGGCACAGAAGCAGCTCTGCAAACTCATTCATGCTCCCTTGTACGGGAGCAGTTAGAGTCTCTGAATTGTTACAACCCCCATTGTACGTCCCGATTCACAAATCGCTCTGTGTCCGTGCGAGGCAAATGAGACCGGCTGAGTTGGCCTTTCCTGTCCCTGGGGAAGTGCCTTGCATGAGATGCCAGTCAGTCACTTTGTGCCTGTTTTCTAACTTGCTGTAAATTCTTCCTTTTCAGGGCTCTGACCTTTTCTCAACTCCCCATTTCCTCCTCCTCTTTTGTCCAGCCAGCTTACACAGTTTGTGTCTCCGATGCAAAGGGAGGCCATCAGAGGGACCCGATTGACTATGAACTAGTTCCACACTGGGATTTTCCCTGGAGGAGGGCCAGGGTTTGGATTGCAAGAGAGTCAGAGAAGCCCATCACAAACCTGGGACTGCTTCTTTCTTTTTGCCAGTCCCAAAAAGCTGGTACCTCTGTGCCCGTGTGACCCCCTCTGATCGAATTGTGGGGACTGGCAGCTGCAGATGGATCGTTTTCGGTTGGAGCAGGAGCAGCCGGTCTCTGCATAGCTGTCAGTTTTCACAGCTGTATATCTCACCTCTTTGTCAGTCGCTTTTCTCCTTCAGCCCACCCTGTGCTATCTTTTGATAAGCTATTCTCTACAGGGATGACTCAGATGACCTCTGCCTCCCATCCTCCCGATTCACTGCCATGGTAACAATTACTCAAGCTTGTCCCCAGCCATAAACCCCATCAAAGCTTTGTTATCTACATAGAAACCCTCCCGTGAGACATGAATTCCCCCAGTGTTCCTTCCAGATCACCTGTAACAGAGCCTTTCTCATTCAGATACTCTTTATCTTTTGGAAATGTGTCACTTCACACCAGCACTGCTTTGAATCCCGCTGCCTACGCGGGCCTGTGGGCTGCCTGCTCCCGGAGGTGTGTGCATTCAAACAGCACTGGAATTAGCTGGGTGGTGTCAGCCCACGTGGATGGATATTTGTCCATTCTCTGTTATGTTATGTGGTCCAGCACTGTTCAAAGCTATTTTCTAGGAAAAGACATATCCCAAAATGCTGGAAAGCTGCGTGGGGAGTACAGAAATAAGGGAATATGGAAATAAGCAATAAGGGAGGCAGTAGGTTGGGACAGAGAGGTGTTGGCAGAGCTGTGCCCATGACTGGATTGGCGTTGCGGTGCCCTGGCACAAGGATCTCTATCTGACCATGAGTGAGACAGGCCAAGGGAGTAGGGTTACGTGTGAGTGAATGATGCCATACAGCTGATGCCTGGCGATGATACTTGCCCTGCATTTCCATGAGAATYAGAAAATCTACTGGTATCTTTAGACACATGAGAGAGAACTAAAAACAAAACTTGCTTTCAGGAGGGGACGGGAGTGCCCAAGGGCGGTGGGTCCATGCTGAACAAACAGCATGTGGAGCTGGAGGGGCAGCATTTCGAAAGCTCCTTCCTTCTGGTCTGACCTGGCAGGTCATGAAGAACGAAGAGCTCAGCCTAGAACTGCTCAACGTGGCCAGTGCCAGGAACAACCGTCCCCCTGCGCGGGATGACCAGGACCATCCTCAAGCCCAGCCGGACGGATCCTCGGCAGAGCTGGCAAGAGTGCGTGCGGTCGTGCACCGTCTCTCCGCTCGCAAGAGGAAGGTAAGGAGCTCTCCTTCCCTTGGAGACACCGAGGAGCAAGGGCTCGGAGACCCCTGGAGAACAGGGATCTAATAGGTGTCGTCTTCTGTGTCTTGTTTTAAACAGCCAGAAGATGTAGCTGCCTCAGAACAGGAGCGGCAAAAGCTGGAGAGAAATGTGAGTGTGTGGGATCTGCTGCATCCTTGGGGAGGCTGAGGAGGATATTTATTCAGGATGTAGCAGGTTGCCTTTTACTGACTTGCGTTTGGTGGAGGATCTGAGGGTTTGGTTTTCTTTTTCTGAGTTGTGCAGTGAAGAAATGAGCCTAAAATAACTGCAGCGCTCGGGCAGCCAAGAGATCTCTCAGTAACTGCTGCTGGTTTAGCAGAGGCAGGAGTTTAAAAGGCAGCACRTCCATGTCTCCGAAGAGAAAGACCATCTGAGTGAGAGGAGGGTCCAGGGCTGGTGTCKGCACTGCTTGAAGGCTTGTTTATTTTTTCTTCCTGCAAATTAGGAGAACCATAGGATCAGAGGAGATGTCCAAAACCCCTAATTCTGCAACAGAGACAGAGAAAAGGGCAGTGAGAAGAGGGGAAGTGAACAGAGCTGCAGTGTCAGGAGGCTTCATGGMCAAGTGTCTCCACAGACACTCCAGTCAAGTATTTGGCAGGGTACAGGGGGGCTCCTGRCTGGTTCTGAGGCCGCTTAGAGAGCAGCACAGAGTATTGGGAATGTGTCCAGTGAAAACTATAGTGGTGATATAGCACTCAAAAGTGGGCACAGAGATGTTTCCTGCCTCATTCCCATCAGCATTCTGTGTGATACCAGCTTGGTTTCCTCCACAAGTTACTCACAGCTTCTCTTGGGAAGAAGTCTTCTTCCTAAGAAGAAGAGAAAATTTCTGAGAAGATTCCTGGTGTGAGAATCTCCCTTGTTGAAATGACACCTGTACTTCAGATCAAACATAGTTTCTGKTGTGTTGATCACTTCCAGTTTAACCTGTCCTTTCCCCTGTATTTCTCTTAGGAAATGGATTTTTGCTCAGCTGAAGGATCCTCTTACTTTTCAAGAATCCCTCTGTTTAATTTGGCCATCTATCTCCTCTTTCTGTTCATTTGTCTCTCAGTTGCTTGGAAACCAAGATCACATAAAAGTGGAGCTTGAAAAGATGAAGAAAACCTATGATTTGCAGCAGCAGAAGCTGGAGGAGAGAGTGTGAGTGTTTGAGAGCATGTCCTTCTGTTGTTTGTCCAGGCATTCGTGGGGCTCATTGCTGCAGAATCTGATCCCTGTGAAAAGTGGAGGAATCATCCCTTTYGTGGGTGGGTACAGGGTGGGAAATGACTGTTCATCCTTAGAAGTGAGGCTTGGAAGCAGTCTGATGTTTTCAAGAACCTTAAGAGAGTTAGGGATGTACTTAAAAGTCAGTACTACTTAGGTATCTGAATGACCTACATCCCTTTGAAAGATCCAGCTTTAATGGTGCATGGAAAACGTGTCCTGGAGATGAATTCAGAGTCTCCCAAGTCCTAGACCCTGCAGCTGTTCTTCCGTGAACAGGCTGGGATGGGGTCAGTGTCCTAGCAAAGGCCGTCACAGCAGAACTGTGCCCTCTTGGTGGGCAGGACCTTCCCCTTGCGCTGCAGGACTCCTGTGGTCTGTCTAGCCTGAATCTGCTGCTGCTGCTTGCGTGTTTGTCCTTTGGAAGTGATTTCCTTCTCAAAGCCACCCGTGGTGGAGCAGTTCAGAGATTTAACATAAACCCACCTTCCTCCTGAGGCTCACAATGGGGAAGGAGCTGCAGGAGGCGAAGCGAGCGATCCGCGACACCCAGCACAGACTGGCGGAGCAGTCGGCGGTAAGGGCATCTCCCTCCCCATCCCCAGCTCCAACCCAGAGCTCATCCGCTTCTCCTGTCTTTGAGACACAAGTGCAGTGCAGGAAATTTGCTGGAGGGAGCCGTGAGGTGGTTGTCTCCTCCTGGGTCCACTCGGACGAGTCTCCCACTGCACAGGCGTGTTGTACCAAGCTGCTGCCCCCTGTGCAGGTTGCTTCTCCAGGGGCATGGTGTGCACAGAGGAACATCCTCCATGCCCCAACTGTGAGGAGGAATTTTGTTTGCTGATGGTAAAAAGAAAGGCTTGATTAAATCGCCTGGGGAGAATTGCAAAGGACCGTATAGCAGAAGTGTATAGACTGTAAACATTTCCAGAAAGCTTCTGTGAAAATCCAGGCCCTTTCCAGCCTCAGTGCCCTAGTGTAATTGAATGCCTGGAAATGAATCCCCCTTCTATTTCTTATTGAGGCTGTTGGTGAACATGTGCTGTGCCTAGGTGCTGCTCACCGCCCAGAGCCAGCTCCGGGAGGTGGAGGCGGAGAATTCCCGGCTGCAGCTTCGGCTGAAGGAGCTCAACGAGCAGTACCGCTCCCGGCTCACGCGGTACCTCAGCGACCTGGCGGTGGGTACCCCGGCCCCAGGGGCCTTCCTGCCTGCAGGGGACCCTCCTGTCGGTGCAGGGCTGCCTGCTGCTTCCCAGCTTGCTGCTGCTTCCCGTCCTTCCTGGGCTGCGGAGCAGAGTGGGGTTGGGAAGCTGGGCTTGCAGCTGGAAGGCTCTCTTGGTGAGGCTCTAGGAGGCCTCTAGCTGCCAGCTTAGCCTGGGGGAAGAGATGCCAGCCCCACAGCTCCTGTATGACCACACCAAACAGCGTGTGGATTTCTGCTGGGTCTTTCTTTCTTGRTCAGATTTCTTGAATTGAAAGATCCTCTTGTTTGTTGTGGCTGCTGTCCAGTTGGCTTCTAGTCTGCATTGCCCTGACAACTTCCCTCAGCCAGCCAGGCGATGCCACTGCTCGCTTTGTTAGCACCTCTGTGTGCTCATTCCGTGGCCAGCACCTCTGTGTGCTCATTCCGTGGCCAGCACCTCTGTGTGCTGGCTCCGTGGCCACTCTGCTGCTGTCCCCAGAGGAGGCTGTGATCGGTAACAGCACTGAGTAGTGCGAGTGCCTGGCCCCCCGCTAGGAACAAGCACCTCTGACATAGAGAAGCAGCTACAGAGCCCGCTGARGACTCAGCACAGAGTCAGAATTTCAGACAGGTTCAGGCCCTGGTACCTGTTATATTCAGCAGTCACCGAAAAGAGGTCCTTCTCCATCCCCCTGCCCTAGGTAGTAGTAAACAGTTTTTTGGCAGAAACTGCTGTGCAGTGAGGACAGTACCAGAGAATGCAGCGTGATGATGGATCAGGAGGCTAAGCAGAGGAATTTTTGCTAGCAAGCGCAGTTCTCTTTCTAACAGAGCAATGTTAAAGGATCTCCTAGCTAATAGAGAGAGAGAGGGCACATGAAAAAGAGTACAGGTTGAGAGATGGTAATTCCTAAGGCTGCCTCGTATTTCCCTAAACTAGTCACTGATGTAGCACAGCTGCCTTGTCTGCCTTGAAGGGGCATGATGGAAATTAGTTAGTCCTTCTTGCACTTAGAAAATTGAAGATATACCCGTTTTAAGTGCTGTTATCACAGATATTTCTGGACCTTCCCTGTGGGAAATGGGTTAAATGTCTTAGGGAATAACTTGGTCATCTCCTTTTCCTTCTCTTTATATTTAAAGGAGTACATGGACAGCAAATCCAGCAACCTGAAGGAGCCTAGCAAAGGCCCAGCTAGCCATGCTCACATGAGGCGCTTTGTGGACAGCATGCTGAAGGATATCAAGGCTTCTCACAAGTCTCGGGAGGAGCAGCTAGCTGGAGCAGCGCGTGGCTACAAGAAGCAGATGAGAAACTTGGTCAAGAAGCATGAAAACCTGCTGATTGCTTACAGGTAGAGCTGAGCCAGGGGCCAGGCTCCCTCTGTGTGTCTCCAGCTATTGCTAAGGACCGTCAGGAAGAGCTCTGTAGCACCAGCACCCAACCTCAGTGCTGAGAGGGAGGCAAACTGCCAACTTCCAGGTGGAGCGGAGGATTGGAAGTCTAGATTCCTGAAAAGCTGGGAGGAGGGTGTCTCTGGCTGTGCATCCATGTGCTTTGGGCATGTTTCTCCCTTGTAAAATTTATGAGAAGAGAGTGACTCCATGCTGACTGGGGTGGAAATGGCAGCAATACTCCAAATAACTCCTGCCTCACAACCCTTCTAGCCCTGCTCCACAGTGCTCTCATCAGCTTGCACTGTAGGAAGCAGCAGCAGTGCTTGTGGCATAAAACCCTTCAGTATCTTTAGGACAAACTYGCTCAGAGACATTCCCAGGAATGCCGTGAATGCTGCTGGGCTCTCCCACTTACCTTTTGCTGGCTCTTTCTTGCCAGAAGCCAGGAAATACAAAGTGAATGGTGACTGCTGCAGCAGCAGCAGCAGCTCTTGGTGCTGTTATTTAGACAAAGCTACTGGAGACTAACCCCTTTGGCTTGTTACAGGATGCAGCGGGAGCAGATCCAGTCCCTGGGCAGCAGTGATATGGACTCTGGCCCTGCTGAATTCCACTTCTCCATCACAGATCCAGAGCTGCTGACAAACACAACCCAAGAGCTAAACCGGCTGCGGGAAGATAAAGCCAGACTGGAGATGCAGTTGCATGAATTGCAAGAGAAGGTAGTGACTGCTCTGCTTTCTTTACAGTGGCAGGGAGACTGCAACGGTGGTGGAGAAACATCTCCCAAGCAGATGGATTCAGTCTCATCTCTCCTCTTTCTTACTCGTTCCCTAGGTGTTTGCTGAGTCTCTGGGGCACACGTGGGTAGTGCTCACTCACTTTGTAATTCTTGGAAGAATTGGATTTTTTGGAATTCTTGGAAGAGAGAGGTTGCCATCAGTGCTGCACCCCTGCCATGTAGGGGGGAGTTAAAATTAGATCCAGGAAGCTGTGCAGCTCCATGGCATCCCTGAGCTCTGGTGGACTTGAGGAGTAGCAGATGTTAAGGGAGAGCTGCCAAGCCAGTGAACAMAGATATTAAAGACCAGGAGGATGGGACAAGGCTTCTGGAATGCTTTGGCTTTGCAAGCATGAATAACTGACTAGGAGACCACACTCAGAAACGTGTCAGATCCATGGCCTTCCACGGATTCTGCCCAGAGAGAGATGTGTTTTTTTTTTTGATTTGTACAAGATATATTTATTTAAAAACAAAGAAGGTGGAGAAGGTGGGAGACAATAAATCTTAAACTTGTCCTGAGTATCACTTCCTTGTCAGGACACTAGTGGCTTTAAGAGTGCTGAGATATTTTGTATTACTCTCTTTGAAGTGTCAGGAATTATAGCAAGATTGCAGTGTGTTGGTGCTTATAGAAAACAATATTTTCTCTTTACCTTCAGAGAAGACTGAGAGAAACCTCTGGCTTTGGGCTGTCCCTGGAGCAGTAAGTCCTGCCTGTTTCTTGGCATATTTGTAATTCTGAATGTTTCTTGCTCTATGAATTGAGAAGTCTTTTACATTACTTGGAAAAGGTAATAAATAGGATGAAGGGGAGCTGATATGAACTCATCTGAGAAGAAAAGCCAGCTGTCATCTCAGTACAGCATTTCCTGGTGAAACGAGTTGGTCATTTAGGCCCTGATCCAAGAAAGCTCTTAAGCACATGTTTGATTTAATCATGTTCTTAGTCCTACTGATCTCTTTAGAAACTGAAACTAAGCATACGCCTGAGTGCTCTGGTGGATCACAACCTGAGAAAGGCAAGTGAAACAACACTGAGTTGGGAAGGTCTTGTTTCTCCTCCCTCCCAATACAGAAGCTGGGGCTAGAACACTTAGATGACTCTGTACCGATACCGCCTTGATTTCCTGACATGCCATTTATTTGCTAATTTTGAGTAGTCCCTTCTCCCGGCTCCATTATTCTGTTGAAACTCTACCCACCACAGTTGTGGAGAGAGAGAATAAAGTATCAGAGAAATCTGAGCTGGGATCTTTCTGCCTTTTAAAATGTCGTAACCTAGCGAAAACAACCTGAGATATTTTGGTAACTGGATTCCAGCTCTGAGGAGTTAAGTGCCTGAGCCACTGGGCTCTGGAGTATCTCAGAGAAAGGCTTGAGCACTAACCAGCCCCTGCCACATTTCCATGATAAACAATAATTAATGCAGTCTCTGAGCAGATGCATTAATTTGGACAGATCCACTACAGGAGAAGACGGAGAAATATCAGAACGTAGATCTTAGTGTTGTATCTTGTTATGGTTTTATAGCTGTCAAGAGACTCTACACACGTTTGTTTTCTGTATTCTGATGTTTTTTTCCCTTGCTGTTACTTGGATGCTTTAACTTCAGAGATGAAGGCTGATATTAACGCAGTACTTCACCTACAGCGCCTGCTATGTTTGTCTTTTTTATCACGTATGTGCTTTTTACTGTTTATTGTAGTCTTAACTTCAGTTTCTGTGAAGCTCCAGCCGTGGTTTTCCAGGTACTTGGCCTTGCAGCCACCAGAGGGAACTCTCGCAGCCCCAGCCAAGCTGTTCTGCAGGCTGCAGGCCGCGAGGTTGGAACACAATGCATTCCTCAGTTCATACAATCAAAATTCCCTGAAYATCAGATGTGACCTGTATTTTGCTTATTCAGACTAGGACAGAATGGGAAGAACTTTCCCACGGTTAGGCTGCACAGACAGCTCACCTAACACACTCTGTGCTCAGAATGAGCGGGTTTGTGCTGAGAAACAGGGGGAAAAAAATGCCAGTGCTTGGCATTGATCATATTCTCTTCTCTGTTTCCATAAAGTTCAGTCCTGCAGTGTCAGGTTAATGACACTTTCTGCATGGAGTCCTCTCTGATGTATGAATGTTGATGTGAACTTGGAGCAAATCCAGCCATCACAGTGGGAATTCCAGGTTGGCAGAAGGGCTGTGGCTCTCGTTTCTGGACATAGGGACAGCACTGCATGCCCTGAAGAAGTTTGGGGCATCAGGATAGAAAAGGCTTGGAGCTTTATGGTCTGGTGGACAAGACTGTGTCYGGCCCCCAAACAGAGCTACATGACATGCAGATGAGGGTGCTTTGAATGTCTGTGCAAATCTCTTTTTCTGTCCTAGGAAGTTGGATGAAGAAGGATGGGCAGAGATCAAGAAGCAGCTCCAGGAGTTTGCACATACCACCCAGGTACAGAACTTCTTTTCCAGCTCATCTAAAACCAGCCTAACTTTTTTTTTTTTTTTTTTTTTCCACCCCAACCAGGTGCTTCTCTGTGGCCAATATGCTGCTCTAGGGGCTTTGGGTTTCCCAAAGTGTTTTGCTGTGACTTGGACTCAGTGCAGCAGGTGACTCTAGCGGATCTATGGCCAGGGGTGTGTTGGGGCTGTAATTTCACTGCTACAGCTGCTAGTCGGGTCTTTATTGCCTCCTTACTGGTTTCAGCTCAAGCATTAGGTACCTGTGTAATGAACTGGATCTGGTTTTAGCCTGGTTGAAACAACAGAAGTCCATCTGGAATCCAGATCAGCTTCCCTGTCTGGTTTTCCCTGGGTGAAAGGATGTTTGCACTGCTGGTAGGTGCAGAGGTGCAACCTCCTGCTGTGGACAAGGCCAGATGTGTTAGCATCACGCTTCCATACCATGGCCTCCTGTGTCCACAGTGACTAGAGGAAAAGTTCTAATCTGTCCTACTTGAGTAAAGTAGAACAGTTTAGATAGATTTGTTTGGGTAAAATGAGAAGCTGGGCGACAGCGTGGCTGAGTAGTTGGAGTGCTGCAGTGGGAACAGGTCCCACTTGTGTCTCGTGGGGGTAACCTCTGTCAAGCTTTTCCACTTGCTGCTCAGATCCTTAGTGAAAGAGGGATTGTGCAATTAGGTAAGATGGTAATTTACTGCTCAGAGACACTGTGTGAAAACCAAGCAGTTTTTATCTAAAGGAGAAGGTCACTTCCCTTTGCAGCAAGCTGCCTGAAAGGTGTGAAAGCTTTCTGTGTCCAAGTGCCAAATGTGCAAACCAGTGCACTGATTGCTGYGAGGTCTCCAGGGGAATGAATAGCAGCCAGGGGTTACCGTGTGTCCTGAAGTGGCCTTAGCCCTTGTGCCCACACTCTGGTCAGGGAGTGGTTAGCTGGTCTGTTGGGCTAATGCTGCGAGGTGGCCATTCCTCCAAGAAGCTGGACTGTCACCACCAGCCTTCCATCTCTAAGCACTTGGGTTTTCTGGTTGCTTCATTAGCTTAATGTGAGGCAGTGTCCGGGCTGGGTGAYGAGGTAGCCTCCTTTTTAGTGTTGCCTGGCAGGGGAGGAGCCACCTCCCTCCCAGCTCACAGAGCTCCCTGTTTTCCCCATGTTTTTCTTACACCTCCAGGAGGATTTGGAGAGAGAGAGAAGCCAGCTGCTGACTCGGGCAATCGTGGCAGAGGAGCAGGTGTCGGAGCTAGAGGAATACATCGATAAGCATCTTGCAAGGTGAGACGGAAGGATCCATATTCTCATGTTCCCAGCTTTGAGCTCCAAGCTGATCTCCAGGGCTAATTACCAGAGACAGTGCCGTGCCCACTGCTGTGTCAGCACCTGGCACTGCTGCTGCCTTCCCACAGCGCTGCCCAGCACAACTCGTGTCACACTGTGCATCCAGCTGTGTGGGCAGCTGGCACCATCCATCCTTCTGCATAGCAGAGGAGGTGTCACCTGGCCCGCCAAGGGACGTGTCTCCTTTGCTGTTAGCCCATGCTTTGAAGGAAGGAGAGGTTGCCTAAAATCCCAAGCCTTCTAGTAGGCCCTGATTTAAGGTCCTCTCTCACTGGCATATTGTGCCCAAAGCGGGGGATCTGCTGTAAGGGCCAGAAGGGGGTAGTACCATCAGAACCAGCCTGTCAAAGCAGCAGTTCAATGCACTGCCTGGCATGACTCAGTAGGACTCATTTGGTCCTTGCTCTTAGGCACTTTGTTAGTGCTGTTGCCTGGCAGAGTTCCTAAACATCCCTTCCTAGGGAAACCAGGGAGAAATACAGCTTGTCCCAAAGCTTAATGKTGTATTTCCATTTCTGCTGGGCAGCGTGTGAACATGAGCTGGGATTTTGTATCTGTCAGGACTCATCTCAGTGGCGCTCAGTGCCTGTGTGTTGTCTGGTGTGCGTTGTCTGACAGTGCCTGTGTTTCAGTTGATTGCACCTGTGAGTGAGCTATCAGTAGGGTCACAACCACACAGGGAATCGTGTTGCTGCTTCCCTGTTGCAGATACAAGCAGGAGATCCTCCGGCTGAGAGAACTCGTCGGCAGTGAAGTACCACGTGCACTCAGTGCTGGTGCTGCTGACACTCACTCACAACAGAGATCCCAAAGGACCATCAGCCAGGAACTGTAGCTCTTCCCCATACCTCCAAGAAGCATCAGAATTGGCAGAAAAAGCGGGGCTTTAAAGCTTTCTGTCTGTGGACTGGATGAGGCAAGTACTCATTCCCCGACTGAGGGCTGGGACACAGAGAAGGAAACCACGTGGGTGTTCTCAAATTAACAGTACTAAAATGGGACAAGACAACTGTGTCTCGTCTGTGCTCTGACCCCTTAACTGTAGGAACGGTTCTGATGTTCCCTGAGCACATCACAGCTGGGGACATGAGGTCACTTTCCCAGGCAGCTTTCTACTGCGTGACTGCAGTGACAGGTCCCCATTCTTATCTTCTGCTAGGATGGGGTGATAACATCTCTACCAGGTCAGACCCAGAGCAGAGTACTTGAGTCCAAGAGCTAACTCTGCTTCTGCCTCTGCTCCTTCTGAGCTTGTGGGGGATGAGGCCAGGGATGGTTCAGGCTACACTTTGGTTCTAAGAAGTTAGATAAGGGGGTCACCTGCCCTTTTGTGGTGAGAAAACATTCTCTGTGTTTGGTGGAGAGCTGGAGACATGCCATGCTGAATCCTCTTCCAAAGGACTTTGGAGCAAAACTGGAAGCAGGGGGCATGCTGGYTCTGGAAGCACCTTGCAGCTCAAAGGCAGAGCAAATATCACAAAGAACTGTCCAAATATTTATTGTGAAAAGTTTATCACAAATAAACTAACAAACATACAGAGAAAGGCACTGAAGATTTAGCCCTTAAAGCCTGTGGTTACTCCAGGATTCCTAGATTTAATTCCCTCCTTTGATTTCCCAAGCTCTCCAGGCTTGGGAAAACAAGGAGGGACTGCGATCCTGTATGTCTCCATGAGAGCCTGATAAAACATCGTCTCCCCTCCACCATTCACTGCTATCCCGGACCATTGAGCTGCAACTGGTTAGGAGAGGCTTGAGTGGTGACGCTGATCTCTGCCCCTTTTTAGCTGGTGACCCTTGAAATCCAGGCTCTGGATGAGCTGCGTTAGACTGGGCTTCCCTCTGCGCTGCTCTGTGCTGCCTGCCGCACCTCCTTCATGTCATAGGCCCAGGCTTGATCCAGCCCCTTGCCAATGGTGCTGCTTGGGGTCCAGGATGGGAAGGGGAAGCGTCCGGCCACCACTCGGGCCTCATCCGGGAGCTCTGCAAGGAGCTTGGCAGCTAGGGGAGATTTCTGGGGAGACAGAGAGACAGCCAGAAGGTCTTAGAAAATAACCCCATAGTTCTCATGACAGCACAGCACTGCACCACACGCTCTGTCCTAGGCTGCCTGGCCACTCCTGGGGATTCATTTGGTACAGGAAAATGGTTTTGGTGATGGGGTCAGCCTGAAACAGTGCTTGTGGTTCATTCTGAGATGGGCTTTCTCGGAACAGTAACTGAGTGTCCCAAGAAGATGTGTTTCCATAGAGCCTCTCCCCCTGGAGACTCAGCCATATGTGCCTTCCTTATGGTAGTGCCAGCAGGGAGTATAAAACAGCCTTCGTAGCCCACTCCCCGCATGGTTAGTGGGCCCCAAGCAGGCAGCGTGCACTAAAGCCTATTCCAACATGCAGGGCTGGTTCTAGCCCTACATGTGGTTGGAACTTGGAACAAATTCAGGTGATGCTGAGCAACTGAAGTCCACATGCCTAGTGCTAGTTCTTGGCACTTGAGAAAACTCAGTTCTTTGCTTGGGTTTTGTGACACTGGAACGGATTTTGCAGTCTTGGCTGTAACGGGTGCTCACAGAGATGAGTGAGTGCCAGATAACGAGCACCACAGGGGACGTGGGRACAGTGCTGCCACAAGGATCACTCGGGAAGATTTGCAAAGGAGGGTTCTGGAACAGTGTTATGTCCATCACCCTCAGAGGCAACAGTCTGCATTGTTAAAAACGCTCCAGTTCGGCTTTTTATTCCAACATGTGTAATTTTTTGGTTTTCTTTACCTTGAGTCTCTTTATTTTTGGACTTTTTCTTTTCAAAGAGAGTTTTCCTATGTTCTGGATATTCTGTCTTTTCTAAGAATCATCTAAGAAGTTCTTCAGAACAAGATAGCAGCGTTCCCACTGTTAGCATCTCATAGCAGGCCCCGCAGAGACCTACTTACCACGCTGGGAGCCAGGAACATGGTGACATTGTAGCAATCAGAAAGATTCACCTTAAAAGAGAAGAAAAAGGAATGAAAGGAGCAACAGACGGAGTGTGGGCTGGCCTGGTCCAGGGAGGTGCCGAGGGACTCGGGACTGTTTGAGTGCTCAGACAGTCGGCAGGTGATGTTCTAAACCTCAGAGGAATCAAAGATGCTAAAGTACACCCAGGAAGGGGGTCTGGGCTGGTACACTTGGGTAGCAGACACGAAAGAAGAATGTCATTCAAAAAGCTTGCATTCAGTTTTGTCTCTAGATGCTAGAAATGCTTTTCCTGGTAGCACTTCATCAACTCATTTAATCTGATGTGAAGATAGCTTTTTAACAGCCTCTCCGTGGCAGTTCAGTGAGTGTCAGCAGCAATAGTAGTCAGTAATTAAGACACTTAGACATAAGACAACTGAGGCTCTTCAGAGCTACCCTCTTGCTGCTCTGAGATAGGAATGTGTGAGCTACCTGCGCAAACCACAGCCACGTGTGGCCGTGTGCGTGTGCACTGCGTGGCTTTCCCCTTGCTGCTGCTCTTGCAATGAAGCCTGGAGSCCTCCACGGGCCTCCCAGGAGCAGAAGAGGGGCCAGCAGCCTTCAGCTAATCCTGGCTGGAGGTGCAGCCCCAAGCTCTGGTGCTGCCCTAGCTAAAGCGCCAGTGCTCAGCGCACTGGGACGGATCGCAGAGCTGAGCTCTGAGCCCGGCAGCCTGTTACCTTCCACAGATCTTGCTTCAGGAAGGAAACCTTCCCGTCACAGCCAGCYTTCCAGGCCCGGTATTTGGAGAGGCGCAGAAGCCAAGGGTTGAGCTCATAGCCAACGGCCGGTCTCAGGCCCCTCTTATAGGCCTCTATTACCTGAAAGAGGAGAGTTGTAACTAAAAGGAGCCGTCTCGTTTGCCGGGGGGCGCAGGGGCTGCCGGCCGGCTCCCCCTTGCTCCCCCACATGCGTTGGCTGCACTCCCTGTCCCGCGGTGGCCATAGCRGGCTGGGAGGTGAGGACACAGTGGCCAACAAGCTCCGGCCAAGCTTGGAGCAYGACTGGCCCGACTACGAGGCTGGGAAGGAGCAGGATGGCTCCCGGWAGAGCAGTGCCCCCCTGGTTGGTGCTGCTCTGTTGCCCGCAGCGCTGCTGCTTCAGGGCAGCGCAGCGTTGGGCACCGATCCCCCGGTGTCCCCGCGCTGGCGTCCTCGCTTACGAGCCGGCCGTCGCCTGAGCCCAGGTCCACCATCTTCCCCGAGCGCCCCTCGAGCAGCGCCATCGCGTTTGCCACCTGCTGCGCGTTGGACGGYACGTATGGCACCTGCGGGGGCGAGAGGGGGTCCCCGTCAGCACCCGGGGGGCGATGGGGACAGGGGTGAGCGGCACTGTCAGCACCTTGGGGATGAGCAGGACAGGGGGATATAGGGGTGCACAGAGGCACCTAGGGGACACAGGGGACAGGGGTGAGGGTCCCTGTCAGCACTTCAGGGATGAGCAGGACAGGGGGACTGGGGTGCCCAGAGGCACACGGGGGACACAGGGGATGGGAGATGAGGGTCCCTGTCAGCACCTCGAGGATGAGGAGGACAAGGGGACAGGAGTGTCCAGAGGCACCTGGGGGACCCAGGGGACGGGGGACTGGAGATGTGGATCTTCACCAGCTTCTGGAGGGCTTAGAGGAGAGGGGACCTGTCAGCACCTGGGGGACAAGGGGGCCGGGGGTAGGGTGTTACGTGACAGGGGGTCCCATCAGCACGTGGGGGCCATGGGCCAAGACGGGCAGGGGACCAGGGCTCCCCATGAGCCCAGGGCCGTGAGGGCGAGGGGACAGCGGGTCCCACCAGCACCCAGGACCTCAGGTCCCATCCGCCCTGGGCAGGGGGCAGAGGAGGCCAGGCAGGGGTACAAGAGGGGCCTGAAGGCCCTGGGAGCGGCGGCGCTGGGCGGTACCTGGAGGTGCAGCGGCACCCGGCGGAAGCCGGGCATGAGCACGGYGGCCCACACGGCGTAGGCGGCGAGGCCGGTGCCGGCGGCGAGCTGCAGCAGCCCCCAG